GCTGCTGCTGCTGCTGCTTCTGCTTTTGCTGTTGCTGTTGGTGTTGTCGCTGTAGCTGTTGCTGTAGCTGTTGCTGTAGCTTTTTTTGTTACTGTTACTGTTACTGTGGCTGTGGCTGTGGTTGTGGCTGTGGCTGTTGTTGTTGTTGTTCTTGGTGCTGGTGGTGTTGTTGTTGTGGTTGTTGTTTTCGTCGCTGCTGCTGCTAATGGTGCTGGTGCTGTTGTTGTTGGTGGTTGTGGCGGCGGTGGTAGTGGTGGTTATTACTTTTTCTTCTTTGTCATCTTCATACCATCAAAGTGCTGAACTGTGTGCGAGCGCCGGCGGTGTCGATGGAATTGATTTCCAGTGCTACGCGCTGCTTGAGCGTTTTGCTTTAGTCGAAGCCACACGGCAAAGACAAAATTGCCAAGAGGCAGCCCCAGCCGCAACTCCTCTAATCTTATTGGTAGGACCCCTGTTCATTTGAAGCATCAAGGTTGTTGGCGGTAAGGTATTCCAAATGTACTCACGCTGTGCGTTTGTAGTGCCGGCGCCCTCAGCCAGGCTCAGCCGCAATGAAGAGACGCACCACGCTCGTGTAGCGGCGTACGCCAGGGGCTCAAGGTCATGTGTGATACATGTTTGTCACAAAATCTTTTGCGAGTAGGATGCCGCCAGGGTTTATAAGAGCGGTCTGTTCAGACAGCATATGCAGCCCAAGGCAAGCCTTAGCAGGGTTTGTTTGCTCCAGTTTCGCTCTTAGTTTGGCGCAGATGGCATTGATTTGCGGTGTAGCTCCTATTTAGGTCCTATTTCCTATTTCATTTGAGGGGGGCTTTGTCAGGCTGGGGAGGCATGTTTTTGCAAACAAGTTCAGACCCTGGAGCCAAGATGCCGTGACAGTGCCCAACATCCCATGGAATCAGCATTTTGCGTGGTTCCCACAACTAACAATCGGAACAGGGTTTGACACGGTCGCATGCTGCAAAACTAACCCTATAGCCTTCTGTGGTTTTTGCTTTCTGTTAATGGGCCGTGGCATGGAGGCAAAGAATATTGTCGCGAAGCAGGCAATCTTTCTTTCCGTTCCAGCCCTACATGTAACTTCTGAACTGGATCCTCATTGAACTCACTGGAGCTCCTTGATCCTTCTTCGGGCGGGTGAGATGACCTGCCCCACTGCATGAACGGATCCGTTTCTGCTGTTTAGGGCACACAAGAACTCAGCGAAACCCTATATACCACATCAAGCGGGAAACTCACAAACCCTTACGACCATCATCGTGGTAATGTTGCACCCTCTTTAGTATGGGCCCTTCCCCAAACAATTCAGGGCGTCCTGAAGCAAAATTGTTGGAGGGTCGGAGCTGAAGCATATTTGTACTAGCATTAGTGAGATTGGCAGTAGTATTAATGTTAATATTAATATTAGTTTCTTCAAACCTACGAACTGATCATTTTGGTCCCGAAAACTTGACATTCTCGCGGGTACCCCGAACATATGCTGGTCCCCAATAATTCCCCGACACTTGTCGCAAAAGCGGGTAGCCGAGCAAAACCGGGTCCGACATGAAGACAAGACTGAGCTTTGGGCTTATGTGGGAGTTTTTCAAAATCTCCCTCAAAGAGCCGCAATGGGGGTTCCATGCTGCCTTGATAATCACCGCATATCCATGCGGATCGCACTAAACCCAGTATCCGTACATGCCTTCATACATCTAGATGGGTGTTTGTATTTCAGAAGCCCCATGTAGTAGCAAGGCCGAGCTTGCTGCAGAGTGCGAGCAGGAGGCATATGATTTAGGGCTTCGGGTTTGTCATTTTGCGTTTCACGCCTGAGGCGTTTTAGGTATATGTAAGTCTAGGCTCCTACATTAGTGATTTCGTATCTGGAGCGCCCAGGTTTTTGAAAGGTCGGGATTTAGGGCTTCAGATGCTTTTCGGGCTCAGTTACGTCGGGTTTCTGGTGAAAGGTTCTGAGTGTAGGGGTTGTTCGAGGCTTCCCGATATTGCTGGGGTTTGCGCAGGATCTCCTTACCCATGTGGCTCCTGAATTGTTGCCCTCAGCCCTCTACGCCATAAAGGGGATGTCAAAGCACTAGCAAGGCAGATGGCTAACCATAAACTGAAAGTTCTGCTACAGGCACATGCAGGCTTCCGCCAGTTTGGAGTCCCTTCCAAGAACCTTTGTATCGCCTCATAAGGGGTATAAGAGGTTGTGTACTGCCACCACTCTGTAACTGTTTAATAGTATGTATAGTATCTGTATGTATAGCCAACCCTTAATACGATTAAAGATATAGACTGTTACAGGGCAGGGGCTGTACCCAAGGTAAAGGGACAGGTGGCTGAGGGCTTCAGGGTTCAGGGGTAAAGTTACCCTAAGGGTCCAAGGACATAAGAATCGTATACTTACCCAAAACTTGTACTTTGATCACTATTACCCTAAACCCAAGTACCTAATTATTGGGTACTTGGACCCTCTGGGTTGTTATGGTTGTGCAGATACGGGAAGCCCTGTGCGCTGAGAATATCCATTTCTGACCCTACCAGAAATCCACAACCCTTGCGTCCCTCAACCCCTTAAACTCCTTACACAGCACCGGCGCCAGCGTCCCTAAACCCTCAACTTCTCGAAGTCCCTAAGCCCCTAACTCCCCCGACCACATACACGATCAGTTTCCCAAACATTCCCAAATTGCTAGGCTCCAAGCCCTGAGCTGTTGGTCCCCTCCCCTTAACATTAAAACCCCCACTCCCTAATATTAAAGATGCCCAACAACTATATTATAGCACAATGGGACTATCGATGTTCAGGTGAGTTAGGGGGTTTAATGTCAGGTGGAGGCGGTTAGTACTGAGGCTTCTGCGGGGGCATGGTTACTTTTGCTTTCCAAGAGTTTCATTTTTTGGGGTCTAGGGTTTTAAGTTTGGAAAGTATGGGCTTTCATATGGGTTGTTACCCCGTAACCCAATTACTAGCCCCCAGTCCCCTAGCAGGGTTATGCTGGGGTTATTTTCCAGGCTTAAAGTGGGTCATAGCTCTAAACCCTGAATCTTCACATCCCTGCAGCTTCAAAATCCTGTTCCATCGGATTTTCCGTATATGGGGTTATAAGTAGCCATGGAGCAGGAGCACCAGGGGGGTTACCCTCCCTGGAGTAATCACTATAGCCATACAAAAGATATGTGTTCCTCATACTTGGGTATCTTTACCTCTATAAACGTCCAAGGTTATGCCAGGTAAGCCGCAAGCCCTAACCGTATATCCTAGACCCTGAACTCTCAGTCTTAAGCCCTGAATGCTAACCCCTAAATAAACTAAACCCTAAACCCCCGAATCCCTAAACCCTAAAGCCTAAATCCCTAAACCTGAATTGTTTTGTGGCCTCAGTATGTGTACCTTCCAGACTGGATGCCTCGGCGAAACTTCAGAATTTCCAGAACTAAGGGGCCCCTGGTTGGGTTCGAGGACCGTTTATCGGGTTTAGGGCTTAAGGTTTAGGGTTCAGGGACTCAGGCTTCAATCCTCACGATCAGGCTTCTACTATATTGGAATTTGGGCCCCGTTCCGTGGAAACCTCGGTTAGTCTGCCCAGGAACCTTAGAGACAGTTTGCCCCTTGTTCAGAGTTTGGGGTCCCCTAAGCCCTGGGATTTCGGGCGAGGGTTTAGTCTGTAAAGTTTTGGGCTTTGAGTTTGGGATGCAGTTAAGGTTTGCTTAACTAGCTACGAATTAGTTGAAAGCTGGTCAAGGCATGTAAAAACAGTTGTGCTAACTTTTGAGTCAGGTATGACTTCTATTTTGTGTACCATGTTTGCTGCTATCAGGCTTCTCCGCGCCATGACCATGATGGCCCAAATTCGCCAACTAGCTGTGTCACTGACAGGTGTAGCGAAGAGCCTCCATCAGAAGACAAAATCATGGGCTTGGGTTTTGGTGTGTATCTTTGAGTTCACAGGCATTCAGCGTTAGGATTTCGTATGAAGACTGTAAAGCTGCAATAGGGATTATAGGGTTTATATAGGGGTTATATTAGGGTATATATTGGGGTTATATAGGGATTATGGAAAAGAAAATGGAAACCAGCTATTTTCTAAGGTCTCTCATACGATTACTTGTATGGCTATATGCCGATAGTCTTGCAAATCAGCAGTTCAGGTGTCTACACTGCCATTCCATCATGTCTCGGTATCAATGGAGGAGCATTCGCCCACAAATCATGCTCCTAAGGGCCCAACATTGTTCCAGAAGCACCCTCCAAACCACGAGCTTCAGGTCCCAAATACTAGAACCTGAACTGTTCTTGTTGTTATAACCCATTATCTGGGTGCTTGGACCCTTACGGTTCGTTTTCGTTTCGCACCTCCTTTTGCGGCGGATCCGCCTCCTTGTAGCTGCCATGCTCCGAGTCTGGAGAATCTCAGGGGAAGAGCTGGCAGCCGTCAATGCACAGGAGGTCAGTGACGTCAGGGACCTCAAGAAGATTCTGCGAAAGCTGCATGGCTTCCCAATGTGCATTCAAAAGCTGCTGCACGACGGCAAAGCCCTGGATAGCTCGACCAAGCTTGACAATCCCATTGACATGCAGCTAGTGCTGCTATCCTTATCTAGCCTTGCTCAACAGGAAGAGGCTGCAAACGAGTTGACTGCCTATGCATGCGAGCATGGCCATGTGGAATCTGGTTTGCTTCTGGAAAACTTTCTTTCAGCTTTGCCCCCTCGATCTTGACGGTATCATCAAGTTCAGAACCCACAAGCCCTAAATCCTTACGTAGCCGTAGCCTTAGAGCAACCGAGGATTGTGCACGGATGCTGTTGGAAGCCGGAGCCAAGCCGGATCTCAAGGATGAGTTTGGCGACACCCCTCTCATGTGCGCAGTTCAAAATGATCATGTGGAGATTGCACGCCTGCTTTTAGAATCTGGTGCCGACAAGGACTTGCAAGACAAGTACGGCAAAACTGCTCTCATGTATGCAGTTCGCCATGACCACCTTGAAATCGCCAAGTTGCTATTGCAGGCTGGTGCGGACAAGGACTTGCAGGGAAAGCATGGCATGACGGCTCTCATGTGTGCAGCCCGGAACGGCAACGCGAACACAGTGCATTTGCTGTTGACTGCTGGTTCCAACAAGGACATACAAGATCGGTGCGGCAAAACAGCCCTTATGCATGCAGCTCGTAATGACCATGTTGAGATTGCAGGGCTTCTGTTAGAAGCTGGTGCCGACAAAGATCTGCACGATGAGTTTGGCGTTACGGCGCTCACGCGCGCAGCTTTAAACGGCCGAGTGGAGACAGCGCGTCTGCTGTTGGAAGCTGGTGCCAGCAAAGACCTGCAGGACAGGTCCGGCAAGAGCGCTCTTATGCACGCAGCCCGGAATGGTCACATGGATGCTGCTCGGTTGCTTCTGGAAGCCGGCGCCAGCAAAGTTTTGCGGGATGACTCTGGGGAGACAGCACTCTTGTGTGCACTGAATAATGGCCACAAGGCAACTGCACGGTTGCTACTGGAAGCTGAAGAAGACAAGAGCTTGCAGGAGAAGTTAAGCTACACGGCTCCTATGCATGCACCCGACCCTGCAGAAGCCTTGTGCTCAAGCTGGGCAAAACAAGACCTGGGTCCAAGTACTTAATCATCATATGAACCTCAGTTAACATTACGGTTTACAGACTTTAGCGTAGGGGGAAGTTGTTGCGCAACTTTCCGCAAGATTGATAGACGACGTCCTAAAACGATAGGCTACACAGGCAGTACTCCCCCAAACCTATCCGACCATGCATAGTACCAAAACCCAATCACTGCAATTTAGAGTACTTGAAAGATCCGGGAAATGATTCTTTCATGTCCGCTGGTGTTGGCAGGTGTGGATCTAGGTCCGATATGTGCCCAGACTTACTGGTTCTTTGTAGGAAATATGCGATATGTTATATAGGGGTTATATAGCGATTCTATTCCCTGATCTAGGTTCTCGGGGTTTAGGATTTAGGGTACTCAAGGGATAGTGCACGGTAGATATGGAGGTTCAAGGCTCATTGTGGAGCACCTAACCTGGAGGCTCTGAATAGGAGACCGTGCTTTTGGCACATACCACTGTCCTGGTGCGAAGCATGTTCGCACATGCCACACCCCAAACCCTAAACCCTATACCCTAAAGCTTAATTTTTAATTGGACGTTGGGTACTTGTTACCTGCCGCTATCTGTAGGTACAACCCATATAGCCACATTGGGGGACGCAGGGCTCAGAATCGGGTCATGACTACAGTTACAGCTAGGCTATTAATAGCATGGGCCTCCAAGTAAACGAAACACCTCAACTTCCCGAAGCCCGAAAGCCTTTAGGGTTTGTTGTCACGGCTTCTTGTTTCTGAGAAGTGGTTGATGCGGAATGCAGGAGCAGATGCCTATAGTAGTTCTTTCATAGTCGCTCACCCTAAACCATAAACTCTGGGAACCTGTTCCTTCATCTTTACTGGCATTTGGGACTTCAACGTTTGGTAGGATTCTGGACCCTCAAGGGTAGGTAAAGTAATGTGGATTTTGGTCCAGGGCTTAGGCTTTTATTCTACATGATTTGACGCTCCAGATATGTATGTCATAGGTATGTTGATGTTCTCAACTCGTTGCTGGATAGATTTCCTGCGCTCGCACTGTACCTCTTGGAGGTTGGTGTACTTATTGCCAAAAAACGCTAGGGTTCAGGGTCTATGGTTTTGTGTTTAGGACTCAGGGTTTATAGTCTAGGGCTCAGGGTTAGCTATATCCCACCTACAAGCTCCATACATCCCTCAATATGGTTAGGTCTGCTTTCGACTTGCAATACTAAAGCTGACCAAGTGCCTTTGTACTTCTAAGCAGGATGTTGGAGTTCAGTGACCTGCCCTGAATCATATTCAGAAGCATAATATAATTTCAGGTGTTTTCCCCAATCAAGGGATGCTGGGACTTCTGAACACTAAGCCCTAAACCCTAAGCCTTAAACCCTCAACCCTAACTACAATTGCGAGTGCCATAATCTCAGAGCAGCAAAGTCTTGGTCGAACGGACCCCGAGGCTTGGGGTTTAGGATTCTAACTACCCATGGACCTCCAAGGCTACCCTACACCATCGCCCCTGCAGGCTTACATGCGCTCTGCCGGAAACCCGGTAGCTACCAGGGTTCGGGGCTGGGGATTTAGGGGGGTTAGAGTATGATTTGGGGATTTCCTAAAATTAGGGTTACCTTTTTAGGGGTCCCAATAATAAAGTCTAGAGTATTTGGGGGTCTATATTGGGTTCCCCCTATTCTGGGAAACTACCATTTGTGTTGGAAGTGTGTACTTCGTGTGCAACTGGAGGTAGAGGATGGTGTTTTGGGGTTTAGGGAGATGTGCCGCCAAACAGTCGGGTACCTTGGGCCGAAGTAGTCAGACATAAGAGAAATGCTTGGCGAGTGTGGGGGGCGTAGTATTACTTAGACCTGTAACCTGTAAGTCATAGTGTAACCCCAAACGTCTCCATGATAAACCTACTTACTACTTGAGCCCCTCTGACACTTAAACCCTGAAGCCTAAACCCTATACGTACCCTAAACCCTAAGCACTGAATCTTAGCCTGCTTACTCCGCCTCCAGGGTACACTTGTTTGCCACTGGCTCTCCAGTCCGACTCCAAACCTTCAAATCAAAACCCAAAGCTCCAAACTCCAAGCTTCAAACTTAAAACTCGAAAGCCCCAACCTCCAGGTGTAGCCTTTAGGGGCTTTGCTTCGGGTACGTTCTAGACTCACCGCTGTACACTCTAAACCGTTAGCTTTACTCCCTGAACCCTAAACCTCAGACCCAACTTCAAGCCCTAAAGTTTAGGGTTTTGTTTTTTGCTTTGGTACCCTCAGGTCGAGGACAAGGCGCGCGCAGGTGACGCCGCGGCGTCGGGGACCAAATCGCTGAGTCGTTCGATTAGGGTTCAGAGTTGGAAGTGTAATTGGGGTTTAAGATGCAGGGTCTGGGTGTTGTACAAGATGTTGAGAGAAATCATATGCGTTTTTTTTTGGTGGTCTAAGTTGACGGCAGCAGGGGACGATCAGCAGCGTGTCTGGAATTTAGCTGTACCTAGATCCCTGGACCTTTATGAGAAGGTCAAAGATACCAGAGTTTTGGGTATACAACCATGCTTTAAAGGTACGTCACAGGTTCCTCTAGGAACTCAAAACCTTAAACGCTAAAACCCTAGGTATCCTGAACCTCTACAGATGTTCAGGGGCTGGTTCGGGTTTAGGGTCCCTGTCCTGCCACGCGGATTTGTTGTACAGAGCAATGCTGTCTATGGTTTTCGGTCTAGGGCTTGGGTTTATGTGAATTTCCAGAACATACTTCGAAGTAGAGAAACCCTTCGCACTAATGTTGGGTAATGTTACTTGCCCCACCCACCCCATCAAAGTGGAGAATCCTTGTGAATGGTTTCCACATACAATATATATATATATATATGTCTATATATACACACACATATTGAGCGACATATTCAATGTTGTGGGCGGAGGGTTTTTGGGCGAGCCTGCACACTAACACCGTGTCAGTTTCACTAACGCCGGGTGTGCTGCACTAGCAGCGCTGAGGTGCTACTGGCAGTGTGGAGTTTAGGGCTTATGTGATGGGGATGTTCATGCGATTGGATTGCTCATTCCATTGGCTGAGCCTACATTTGAGGCATGGCATTCATTTGCAGCATGGGTCAAGTGCCACTTGTTTTTTCTCGTGGTTGGCTCCAAGTCCACCCCGCATGACCTGATTTGAGCTTGTGAGGGGTATATGGGGATGTAGATAACAAAAGGCATTACCTGTTGCGCATCAACGGGAATTTGCAACTCATCGTGGACAACAAAGAGAATTAAAGCGGGGCATCCTTCAAATCAATTGCAGTCAAGCTAGAACCAGTTGAAAGCTTGATTTACTGTTGGGATGAAAGTACAGTGTAGGCGTTGCTGAGAGACATATAGCCTTTTTTCTCCATGGCGAAGCTGCCTTGTCCTCATGCAGCTTTAGTATGCTTCTCGCAGCACGTGCCTTTGAGCCGAGCTTTGCTTGGGGTTAGTCCGAAGCCCGAAATGCCTACCCAAAGACTTGAAGACACTTCCTGATTGGGTGGCTTGCTACACTTCTGCACCACCAGCCCCAAAAAACCGACAAAGGAGTTTCTGGGTAGATCTTAATGCAGAACCCCCATGAACCCTAGACCCTAAGCCCTAAACTCTTAAACCCAAACCCTGAGCTTCATGAGGCCTTTAGCCCCAAATCCTAAGCCCTTAACCCCCAACCCCATATCCCAAGCCCAATGACCCCTTAATCCCAAACCCTAAGCCCTAATTAAACCCTTAACCCAAACGCCCAAAGTCTAGACCTTTAACGCTAAACCCTAAACTCTAAAGCCCAAACCCTTTTTGATTCCAGGCAGCGCGAAGCTCAGCGCGCTGCCGCGGAGGAAGAGACGCATCACAAGGAGGTGTGGGTCCTTTGAGGAAGCGGGTGTAGGGTTCAGGGATTAGGTTGCAGGGTTTATAGGGTTTGGGGGTTTAGGATTTCGGGTTTGCACTTTAAGGTCTGCCTGCGCCGGGCTGAATATCCATGCGCTAATGGCGCCACCCCACTCTCAGGGGTCTGTGGGTGGCTGCGCGTCCTGCACCCAGCGAGCCTCATGGGCGTTGTGCAACGATCCATCCAAACTCATAAGTTTCCCACGCCCGCCGTGAAACATCACAGGCTACCACCCAAACTACGTGCTTTGACGGTTCAGGGCTAGGGCCTCAGTTCCCACCTCAAGATCCGCTTCTTGCTTCCCGCTCCCAAGCTCTTAGCATACATTTTGTATGATCACGGGTCAGCCCGGGAGTGCCTCAAGGCGCTCCAGGGCCTTCAGGCACCTCCAGGGGCCTTGGGGCCTCCCATGGTCTTGCCCAGTACGGGTGTAAAAGCTGATGTGTACCTTCAGTGTCTGACCACCCTAGTAAGGGGTGGGAACTCCCTAAGCACGCGGGGTGGGAATTTAGGGCTTAGGCTCCAGGATTTAGAGTTTAAGATGAAGGCTTCAGGGTTTGATTGGGCTTAGGAATTAGGATTTAGGATTTAGGATTTGGGGTTCAGTGTTTGGATTACGGATTAGGATTGATTTGAAATCCTAATTTCTTGCCGTGTTGTTGCAGGTTATACCCACTGTTTGACGGGGTAAGGACTACGAAGCTGTAAGTAATTTGAGTTAAGATTCTGGAGGCATTTAGAGTTGAGGGTTCAGGTAGCCACGTTCAGGTACCTATATAGAAGTCTTGTATGGGTGATGTAGAAAGCTCATGTGGGGATCAGAAGTCCGTCTGTTTGGCGGCTTGGCCTTAGGATTATATGGGCTTGTGCTTTGGATATTTGTGTGTCATTCACTCGAACAATAACTGCCCTTACGGCAGTGTGAACAAAGTGCCATACGGGCGGTTATAACTCCTGTTACCTACTGTGGTAGCGGCCACAATGAGGGGAATGACCCAAGGTAATATGGTTTTGACGATAGGCTTGTTTTTGAGCCTAGGCTAAGCCCACTGAAATGCACAGAACATTGGCATACTGCAGCTGCAACAAAACG